TTTGTCGACACAAAATGTAATGCCAGAGACTGTAGTTTTTGTGTTTAACATTGAATACACGAGCTTCTATTAAATTTGAGTGTGGCATTGAGTTCGGTAAACTGCAATGACTTCAAAAAAAGCCATTTTTCAGCCAAGTCTGCAACCACTATAGAACATTTTCATATCCCGTTGAAGTACCGAATAAATTTAGATTAGTTGTGGAATTATAATTAAAAAAAAAAAATTACATGGAGCTGCCAGTTACAGCATAAGGCCAAGGAGATTAAAAAATTCTGGCTAAAATTGTAGTGTTTATTATCTGGCCAAAAGTAACTTGACATAGAGAATTAAACTATTTTGAATTTATTATTTAGTTTTAATTTGAACGTTGAACGTGCAACATATCTCTTATCTTCTATATCTTACCCCTATCCCCTATCCACTATCTCCCACCCTTTCACTCACCCCTATCTCCTATCCCCTACCCCTATCTCCCACTATATCCCTACCCCTATCTCTCGTCCTTATCACTCACCCCTATCTCTTATCTCATATCAGATAACAGCGTAACGCTTCTTTTGGTAACACTTTTTTTCGGTTATGTACCGGCTAATTCTTACCCCTATCTCCTGTCCCCAACCCCATCCCCGTGTGGTTATGCTTTTTTGGTAACGCTTTTTTCGGTTATGTGCCAGGGTTATGTGCCAGAGCTAAGACAGAAAATGTCAAAAAAAATATTTTATTGGGAATTAGTGTGTATATATTGTTAATTTATAGCAATAATACAAAACTAGCATAATCTTCATAATAAAAGAATTTAAGAACAATACTCGTACACCTAGCAAAGCGCTAGTACAATAATAGGTAATACAGAATTCAGTCACTATTTGTTTATAAAATCTTATGCAATTTTAATAGCTCTTGCTTTTGATAACCGTCGTTGTAAAGGGAAAAAATTAATTCATCGCATTTCCATTTAGGATTTTCGGTGGCAAACCATGCATCCAATATGTATTTATTTTTTGTATATTTTTACAATCTATAAGTACAAATTAAGTGTGAGCGACATGATGGTTCACATAGGTCTTAGTAGAGTTTTGTACAGAATGAGCTTGTGTGAGTATTCTTTTGAAAGTACATTAGATGTTTATGTAAAAAAAAAATAAAACAATTGAAGCGTTCCGTTAAGAAAGTGACGGAGAGAGTTCGCATAAAAGTGCGTAGTCTTAGATCACTAATTAAAATTTATTTTTTGATTGATTGCGAAAAAAATAGTATTCTAAAAACAATAACAGGTGTTTTAATTAAATTATTAAAAACAATTAGATACTGAATCTAATCAATGAGGTTTTTTTAGCTTCGACGTGACCAAGGTATTGGTAAGAGGGAAATCTTAAAATAAAAAGTTAAAGAAACACATACGTCACCATATTTTTAGTTTTAAAGTTGAATAGGCTCTAAAAATTATGAAAAAAATGTAAAATATAATAGCTAAAAAAAAATTTTCTAGTAAAGATAACAAAGAACTGAAATTTTTTCGTGAGGAGATAAATGTTTATTACGTTATATTTAACAACTTTTATTTTTTTTCTTATTTTTTTTCTTTAGATCAGAAATAGAACATGAAATGTATTTCAAATAGATCAAAAGTAAAGAAAGCGCATTAAAAATGTATACATAACTAAAACTTTTTAAAAAAATATCAAAATAATTTATTAATTTGAACGAAATATTCTATATATATATATAACAGTACAGGTGATAGTATACAGCAGGAAAAAATAAATAAATCCCCAAACTTTTTTCCCTACAAGTGGTTAACATTTATTTTTTATTTTAATGTTCTAGAGGTTAACATTACATAATATAAATGAACCTTTTTTCATATATTTAATATACTTAAGTCACTGGAATGAACAAAATCAAATTTGACTATACTATATGAGTTTTGTGTGAAGCCTATCGTAGAGAGATGATGAGAAACAATAGATTGAAGTGGTTGTTAGGCTTGTTTTTAAGGAGTGGTTGTTCTCTCGTTTAGACAATACAAATGAGGCATACAATTGTCTGATTACTTAAAACATTTTAATATAATTGGATTGTGTTAAAAATAAATCTTTATTGCTACTTATCTGTAACTTATTATTGTACTTCCAGGCCCAAATAGCTAAAAACTTGAAGGACGAATGCTACGCTTTATTGTTGGACTTCAGTGCGTTTGTGGCCATTTCAATACAACTAGTAATACAGTAATTGGATAAAACTATTACTGTCTAATATTGAGAATTAACGTGCGTTTTAGTTTTTGTTCTTCTGTGCTTAGTACGAAATTCTGGGTGTCGTTTACTTGTGGAATAATTCTGTAACGCCAAAATCGTTTTTCAGGGATGATGCTGAGCCAAGGGCTATATATATCTAAAAAGTATATTTTACAAATTATTTTTTTTTATTATTAAAAAATTAGCAAATATGGATATTGTGGAAAAACATAATAAAATAAAAATTAATAAATATAACAATAAAAGTAACAGAAACAACAAAAAAAAAAATGGAAATAATTCAAAACATTAATTTACACAAGCAGATTTAAGGCCTTATAAACATTTTCAATAAGATTTATATGCGAAGAATAGTGCGGTGACCAGACAATTGACCCAAACTCAAGATTAGACCTAATCAGGGAAACGTATAATGTTTTCAAAGCGTTGGTATTTTTTAAAATTATCTTGTCTATAATATATAAATCTCAGCATCTTAAAAGTTTTTTTAATAAGTGTTAATGTGCGTGGAAAAATCCACGTTAAAATGAAAGAGAATCCCTAAGTCTCTAACTGAAGTAACTCGCCTAGTCAAATAATTATCAATCATATAATTGTAGGTAATTAATGTTACTCATACGCGAAAACGTAATAACGCTGCACTTATTTATATTTAATGGAAGGAGACTTACACGACTCCAATCAACAAATTTATCCTACTTTGGTTGCAATTTTAAGGCATCACCGGAGATTTAATAACCGAAAATGATTTGGCATTGTCGGCGAATAAAAAAATATCAACCGAGCAATCAGAAATAAACGGCAGTTGATTAATAAATAACACAAATTAGAGAGGACCTAAGTGAGACCCTTGAAGTGACCAAAAAAATCATTCGAAACATAACTAGAGATTTTTACTGTCTGGGTACCAGAACATAAATCAGATTTCAACCAATTAAACAAATTTCCATGGATACAAAAAAATGATAATTTATATAAAAGAATTTTGTGATTAACTTTATCAAACGATTTTTGAAAGTCAGTATAAACAGTGTCTAATTGGACACGTTCATTAAGGGCTGAAAGAATCTTCGTCTGATATAGTAGTATTATATTAGCGGAAATCTTGGGTCTGAAACCATGTTGGTTTTTACATATTAATGGGGACATAATTAAAGACAACTTTTTAGTAATTAGAGCTTCAAACATTATTGAAATAAGGGACATTTTGGAAATCGGTCTATAATTTGTTACACAATGTTTATTCCCCGATTTATGCACAGGTGTTACAAAAGATCTTTTAAAAATGTTAGGAAAACAACCCAAACCTAATGGTTTATTGAAAATTAAACGAAGCGGTCGTGCTGGTACTGAGCTACAAGATTTTAAAAACGTAGGTGGTATACCATCAGGTCCAGCCCCAGCATGAGTATTTATAGAATTTAAATAATCAACAATTTCATTGAGATCAATAGTTCAGGTGCATAAATTTAAGTCACTATTACACCCATCAATTGAAAGAGGGACTTCTTCATTGAACGTAGGAAGCTCCGGTATATAAACACTAAGAAAATAATATGCAAATAATTGGGCTGTTTCAGAAACATCATACGAAGAATTATTATTATAATTAACGAAATCAGGAATAACATTTTTTGACTTATTCGAAGAATTAACACAATTCCAAAAATAATTGATATTTATTTGTATACTGATATCAATATCAGAATTATGTTGAGCATGGTATATAGTAATCAAGTGTTTGCATATTTTCCTGAGATTAGAAAATTTATAATAATTGGCATCGGAAGCAAAAAGTTTTAACTTTTTGTGGGCCCCTTTTTTTTTTATAATACATTCTCTGAGTTCAGCGTTGGCCCAAACAGGGGAAAAATTGTTATATGTTTTTGTTTTGGGTAAAAATAAATTGAAAGAGTAATAGATAATTTCATAAAATGTTTCAATAAGCGCTTCAAATGATGAATTATTATTAAGATTAAGATCAAAATCAATGTTCGATAGGAAATATAATAATGTCATTAAAATTACAGCTTTTAAAATAGTAAACGAGCGGTGACTCGTAAAATTTAAATACTGAATGGTCCAATCATCATTGTATCACTTCTTATTACATAATACGAATGAACGTTTTTTTTAATATATTTAATATACTTAAGTTACTGGAACGAACAAAATCAAATTTAGCTATACAAGTATGGGTTCGGGGTGAAGCCTAACGTTAGAGAGATGATGAGAAACAATAGATTGTAGTGGTTGTTAGGCCTGTTTTTAAGGAGTTGTTTCGCTCGTTTAGAGAGTACAAAAACGGCATACAATTGTGTGATTAATTAAAACATTTTAATATAATATGATTGTGTAAAATGATCCAATAAAATGTTTATAATGTGTATGTTTGTATTCGTTTTTGAAACTCGTGTTTTGCACCTACAATCAAACCAATGTGTTTAGATCATTCACCTCGAATTGCTTTGTCAATTCAAATTTTCACAATCAAGAGAAAATATTGTTTATTTCAGTAAACTACTAGTATACTAAAATATGGTCGTTTGCAGCAACTATACTAAAATAGCTATACTTTTATTTATATACTTACTACATAAATCACCACAAAAAACGACATATTACTACATTTTATTATAAATTAAAAATGTCTACAAATCTAGTTAGAAGAAAAAGTACACTTATTTAGTAGCCAGCTTTTATTTTATAGCAAAAGAAATACATTTAATTTACAAATATTTAATTCGGAATATCAACGTAGTGAAATCCTAAATCCAAAAAGTATTTGTTTATGACCTCTTCCACGTGTTTTTCGATCTCCAATTTGACCACATCCTCAATGCTGCTACTTGCCTCGAGGGGCTGGCCGGTTGTTTCATTTTCTATTGTATTAGCATCAGTTGAAGGAATTTGATTAAGATCAATGTCATAAGATTCTTTTGGTATTATACAGTATTCCCTCATTATAGGTGACAAAACCCCTCTTACTTGTCTATTTAAACTTTTTTTTAGATTTTTATGAAATGTGGTAATATTGTCATCGGCGTCCTCGCGGTATACATACTTGTGAGGTGTAGTATTTATATCTCGAATCATAATTGCGCTAGCTATAAGACATTGTATATTATTTCGGATTACACGGTGTTCTTGAATTTTTTTCAACGGTTCCAACAAATCAATCAATGCACACGTCATGTAATCAAACATCCGTCTACTATTTTCAAATTGTTCCAAAAGAGTGTTAAAAACCTTACAAGATTTGCTATAGTTACCACGACGTGCTTTGAATTGCTCACCTGAATCACACGATAGCATGTTGGTACGTCTTTGGTTATTTGCTCTTTGATTCGCAAGACGTACCTCGATATTGCATTTCACTATAATAGGTCTTATCAACTGTACGAACTTATGCATAGCATTTGCATACACACATCCCAACAGCGTAACGGTCATGTAGTATTTTTTTCCCACATTTTTTTTGGTGACACTACATTGATCGGGTTCTTCACGGACTATGAGTAGATCTATTCCTGAAAAAGAAGACTGACCTTGTGTATCGTCGTGATATTTGACTTCCAGGTGATTGAGCCGACCCCATCCGGAATTTATAAGAAGTGCATTTAGTTTGTCGATAAGTTGTTGATTATCTTTTTCGTCCGGCAAAAACTGGTGCGAGTACGATGCTAGTGCAATGATCATGGTCAATAAAAATAACATATTCATAATGGACACGTTATGAAAAATTTTACCGGCAAAAAAAATATTTTGTGTTAACTCCGCAGTACAAAGAAAATATATTATGTACATTCGGTCTCAAACAGAAAGTTCTAGGTTAAACGGTTCACGTTTGGCATTTGAAAATGTGTTTACTGTTTTAAGTATATATCGTTATTGTTTGTTCATTCGGTATAGAGTTTTTTTATTTGTCGACACAAAATATAATGTCATAGACTGTAGTTTTTGTGTTTAACATTGAAAACACAAGCTTTCATTCAATATTCGTGTAGCAATAAGTTTGGTAAACTGCAAAAACTACAAAAAAAAAAACATTTTCATTAAGAATTAGTGTGTGTGTGTATGTAGATATTTTTAATTAATAATTTCGATACGATATAGTTGTTGTATGGCAACAATACAAAACTAGCATAATCTTCATAATAAATTTGTTTAAAAACACTACTCGTACACCTTGCAATGTACTAGTAAAATATAGGTTATCCAGTCGCTATTAGTTTTATAATATTATGCAGTTTTAATAGCTTTTGCTTTTGATAACCGTCGCTGTAAAATGAAAAAATATAATTCATCGCATTGCCGTTTTTCAATGTCAAACTACTCGTCGAATATTTATTTATTTATGTTTTTTTTTTTTATATAATTTTACAATCTGTACAAAAATAAAAATGTGAAATAATTAAATTAATTTACAGTATAAATTAACAGCGAGTGTCGCCGATTGTCTACATGGGTCTTTGTAGAGTTTTGTACGGTATATTGGAACGTTTCACACATCCAGACACAATATTAAGTGTTGTATGTAAAAAAAAAAATAATAACACAACTGAGCCAAAAAATTAAAAATAAAAACATTTTAATTTGATAAATAAAAACATTTTAATTTGATACATTTATATAATATTAGACATTAAAGGGAAATATTTTAAATAATACAATCATTAATGAATAAACATGAACTTTTCTGTAGTTGGAATGTAATTTTTCAGATTATTAACCGTTTTGTTCTTTTATTATGAATATATTTTTATATATATATATATAATTTTTAATTTTTTTTAAAGCAATCAGAGTTTGAAAGTTAGATAAAATAGGAGGGTAAGTGTGGTTGAGCAATGCAAACAAATTCCAATGTATATAATGTTATTATTGCTATTGATTTGTACGATTGACGAATTATAATTAATTATTTTTTGTACACCTAATTTTTTATTATTTTTTTTTTTTACTTCGGTTGAAACAAAATAATATTATGTCTATCTACAGTACCATCAGCCGTTTCTATTTGACCGTCGGTAGCGATAAAATTATATTGAAAAATACTTTGTCGGTATTGTCCGATATGGACATTTTGCGGATGATTACAAATATATATATATATACTATGATTTACTTTATTTACATCATTATTGTGTAGTCATCGATAAGACCCTCTACAGCAACGTTGCACGAGAGATAGCAGGTGTAGAGGCACACCGTCGAGTGGCTACAACCGGTTTGTTGAGTTTGTTGGAAAACAGCCAATAAAAAAGTTAGTGGGTGAGGTAATAATAATATTTATTATCCGTGAAATTGGCCGTGAATAAAATAATCTGTAAAAAAATAACAATCAAGTACAGCGGCGATTGCGCAGACCTGTGCGACGGCGGTCCAAGTGCGGACTTCACTCGTTAAGCGCGCTCGTCCCTTAGACTCATAATATTGCCCGCCGGACTTGTATGGGAACCATGGAAGAATGGAAAAAGATCACACTGATGACCACCGTGTTGGCGTTCCTTCTGGAGATAAGACCACTGGACCCGTTCTTGACGGCGTACCTGACCGGACCGGACGTCAACGTACCCCTGGACGAAGTAAGTAGTACATTTGTTTTGTTAAGTCGGATTGTATTTGAAAAAAAAAAAAAAAAAAATTGAAATTTTCATTTGACTACACGGTGTGAAACTATTGCGCAAACAATGTGTTTGAATTAGGTTCGCGTTTCATACTTAAATCGTCGATGATTGAATTTCAGCAAAATTAACCGCCCAAAAAAAAAAAAAATATGTACAATCCAAAAAGGGCTATAAAATGTAAATTTGACTAGAACCGAAATGACGGAAAACAAAAAGCAATATGTCTTGAAGGTTATAAACAAATATGTGTAAACAATTACATAGCCTTCGACGTTATTTATTAGGCAGATTAGATAAACTATGCCCGCGCACATTGTAGCGTTATTTGTTCAATTCTAGAGGTATGCAATGGAATATAATAATAATTATTAACTATAATTATTCAATTGTATAAATAAATATGTGCAATAATTACCTATGCTGATGATGCGCGTCTGAATTAAATGGTCTAATAACGATGAAATATAATAAAACATTTTTTACAGCGTTCTCGATTTATATTTGTTCAAATTTTCCATTTCAAGATTTAAAAGTTTGCGATTATGATAAAATAGATAATCCAAGCTACTCTATAGTAAATAGAGTGACTAAAATAAAAAATATTTGAGTTTGATGTTCGACTATAATATGTGAGATGGAATACACATAGTATATTATTAAACATTACAATGCGACTGAAGGCAATTACTTTTAAATCATGTAGATTAAATAAAATCATTTCTAAAGACACTGTGAGAATTGTGTATATGTCACTATACCAGTCTATACGTCAGTTGTATTCTCCATACATTAAATATTCAACGAAATAATGCGATTCGTATCTACCTTAACAAAATAAAAAAAAATAAATCTGGATCCACAAAAAAACAATTATAAACAACTTAGTGTTGTACCTGTAAGTGTTTTCTACAAAAAATTTGCTATTTCATTTACTTTAAAAAAAATTGTCTTCGCTGGATGATATGTGTTTAATAAACGTAAAAATAAATATAGTTTGTGACGTAAAAATTAATAATGCAAACAAAATATATAGGCCAACAATTTAATTAATCGGTTCGTCACTTTGTTGACTTGTAAAGATTTTTATTTAAGATTAATATTCGTTGGGTTTTCAAAGTCACTAGTGCAGCGAGTTCTCATTAAGGGGATTGCATGCGGTCTATTTGGACCAAAAAACTTGAAAAAATTTTAAATACTAAAGATGGTCTCAACTGGAAATTCCAGTTCTTTGGCTACTTTACTTTGTTATGAAGGAGGCTGATTTTCATTTAAAAATTTCAGTTTCTTGTAATTAAATAGATTAAATTAACCCAGTAAAGTTTTCAAAGAACTTATAAATTAACATTTGAGAAATAAAAATCTAAACATTTTCCCTTTCAAACAATAGCTAAACTTACAATGATTGTCTTTCTATATAATTTTATTATTGTGTTTTTTGCTGTTTTAATAACTAGTAATTAATACGAATTAATTATTCAAAACTGAGCTAAATAAAAAATTCTATTAGAAAAAAATAACCCACGTTTGATTCGATTGGTTTCAGAGCTATTTGCAGCAGCTGTTTTCTTTTCGTAATTTTTTTAAACAGTTACCGTGGAAATGTATTATTAATGTTTCTGGAATTATAAAAAAAAAAAAAAGATAATAATTTATAAGAATAAAAAATTATAAATTCCAAGGCTGTAACTGAAACCAAAATCCTTACATTGTCAATAACAAAGTGATTCAATTAATACAAAACAAACGTCAGATCAGTTAAAAGTTAATTGTAATAAAAAACGCGCTTTGCAAAGAGCAAATTTTACCAAATATTTAAAAATAAACTAACTAAAAATATGACAAAATTTCAAATTCATTGTTTCTTATTGGAAATAATTAAAAAAAAATTCGGGCTTTCTTTCAGTTGAATTATCTTATGTCAAATGTATAAGTTATATATTCAACAGAGAAAAACAATATAATTTTTTAAGACTCATTCTAGTAATGCCCAACATAACATAAGGTAACTAGGCAGTAATCTTTTGTACTTTCGAAGCTACACCCAAGCTGAATCAAACTCAAACTTCAAAGGGTCTGAACATAGGGTCTTGACCAGCACCACAATAAAAACCCTTTATAGAACCTCTGCTGTCCATCAGGAAGCACTTCTGATTGGAATTTAAATAAATTGTCGCAGGTGGCAGAAGTCCTGACGCCCATAAGAGTATACATGGGAATCGTCGGCACGGCGTTGTGTTTCTTGTTCGCCGACTACGTTTTGTACAAACCCGTTTTGATCGTTGACGGATTGGTGGGAATAGTGATGTACTACAATTTCATCGGTTCGCCCAGCAAGTTGCAGCTGTGGGTTAGTGTTAAAAATCCCTGTTTGAATGTTATGCGGAAAAGATGTCGTCGATAACAATTATATTCCTCCGCAGGTTTCCATGGCTTTGCTGTCCATCTATGTTTGCGCCGAGTTGACTTGTCTGAGTTATGTGTACGTGAAAATCCAAGACAAACTCAAGTACCAGACGGCCACGGGTTTCATCAGGTCTGGCACTTTGTGCGGCACGGCCTTGTCGGGTCTGATCGGCCAAGTGTTGGTGTACTTCAGCGGTGGACGCTACACGATTCTGCCTTACATAAGCCTAGTTGGTATTAAAAACCACTTACTGTCTTCCAAATGCCCGCTTATAACCCTAACCACTCGTGTGCAGCAATGGCAAATTCCCATAGGTATCCTCGGCCAATGTAATGCTTTTGTCCGTTAAACAGACACTAAAACGCCTCGCCTGTGAAAATATACACGCGTGGGCTTAAATGTCAACTCCTCGGTTTTGTTTCTCCTCATTTCCATATCTATTTCTATTTTACTTGCAATAATGGCGTAGCTCTCGAATGAATCGTCTTTAGGCGTGTCTTCAATCAAAGACTCTCCATCGTCTAATTTCCATATCTTCTATACTTTCTCCTGTGCAAGTTCCAAGTATTTAAATATCTCAAATATTCTATGTACTACTTGCTACCTCTACCCTGCTAACAGGTGCTCTCGAGAGGCTGATGTAACTCGGAGATGTACTGTTAACGTTAAGATCACTTTCAGGCGTATCATTAGCCTTCGTGTGGGCTTGGTTTCTCCCAGCTGTGAAGTACAGCTCCTTTTTGCAAAACGTACTGGAACAACCCATTGATCCGGTTTCATCGAAGACCGCCCTTGACGACGGCAGAACGCCCAAATACGTGGACTCGACGATTGCCAATCAAGTGAAACACAATGAACCTGAGCAAATTCCCACTCGAATAAAACTGTTCAACCGTCTCCTCGAGGACTTGTCGTTATCGTTGTCCGACCAGACTGTACTGAAATGGTCGTTTTGGAACACCTTGGCTTTAACCGGATTCATGCAGGTATCGCTGATGTATCATTGGTAAATGGAATGTACTGCACAATCAATTGTATTTGTGTGTGATGTTCAGACCTCTGACGTATGGAAGACGTGAAAAAAATAGGATAAATTGTGGAGGGGAGTGTCAGGTATTTCCAATGCTAGGAATGTTGCGCAGAAGGCAAGAAAATTGAACAAAGGATGAGTGTAGCGGAGGTGATAACGCTAAGATAGACGAGTGGAGTGACTAGGGAGGATAGAACAAGAAATAAATATAAAAGACGGAGTCTAGGAATTGTGAGGAAAATGAGAAAGGATAGGTTGAGATGGTTTGGTTATATTATGAGGAGAAGTGATGCGGAGAGAGATGCTATGAAGATAAATATGGATAGATGGAATAGAGCTCTATGGAGGTGTAGGCCGACCCCATTGTAGTTGGGAGTATAAGGCGAAGATTAAGAAGAAGAAGTTGAGACCTTATGATATTTGTTTTGCAGGTCGCAGTGAACATAAACGTTTTGTATACGTACAACGAAGACACCACCGGAGACTACAGGACATTGTTAAACGGAATGGTGGAGTTTGTCAAGACTCTTTCTGGTAAGTTTATAGTTTCGTGTTCGGGTCATACAGAGAAGTAAATGAAAACGATTAGTGCAGTTGTAGGTTGTAATATTAATGAACACGAATCGGAGGACAATTATGGGCTATCGAGTATACCAGTGACAGTGTTTATTTATGTTTTGTTTTAGGAGCTTTTTGTACCTACAAAATCGGTTTTGTCAACGTCGACTGGGACCTTTACGGCGACTACTTTTTGGGATGCGGTTCATTGGTCCTCGGAGTACTCATGGGACTTTGCAACTTTATTCATAACAACTACTACGTGTACATCATGTACATTTGCTACGGCGTGCTGTTCCAATCCATGGTCGTTATAGCCCAGTAAGCATTACAATATGTACAGTTAATGGTGTTTTGTTAGCTTCGATGTGACCAAGGTGTTGGTAAGCAGATAAATCTAAATCCTTAGACGTAACAGTACTGGTGATAGAGCTGATGATACATCTAACTGACTGAAAATCATTGGGAATGTACATGCAATGGATATTATTGAGGTGAGATTAACAGAAGTTACTGGAATGAACAGAATCAAATTTGGCTATACAAGAATGGGTTTGGTGTGAAGCCTATCGCAGAGAGACGATGAGAAACAATTGATTGAAGTGGTTGTTAGGCCTGTTTTTAAGGAGTGGTAATTCTCTCGTTTAGACAGTACAAATAAGGCACACAATTGTATATGATTATTTAAAACATTTTAATATAATTTGATTGTGTTATAAATAAATCACGATTATTGCTACTTATCTGTAATCGTTATTGTACTTCCAGGTCCCAAATAGCTAAAAACTTGAAGGACGATTGCTACGCTTTAGTGTTGGGCTTCAGTGCGTTTGTGGCCATTTGTATTGGCACTGTATTCACTATGTTCGTCGTCTCTATGAACGTTTTCAATACAACCGTTGCCCAACAGGTAATAGTGTGTCTTTAAACTAGCAATACAGTAACTGGATCAAAACATTATTGTCTAATATTGAGAATATAATGTGGATTTTAGTTTTTGTTCTACGGTGCTCTGTACGAATTTCTCGGTGTCGTTTACTTGTGGAATAATTTTTCCAACGGGAAAACCGTGTTTCGGGGATGGTGCTGTGCCAAGAGCTATGAGGATCTCTGAAAAAGTATATTAGAAAAATTGTTTTTTTTATTTATTTTTAAGTAGTTGTAATTAAACGATGTGTATAAAAAAAATTGTAATCAACGAGTAAAATGTTATGTTTTGCACCAACAATCAAACCAATGTGTGTAAACAATTTTCCCCTTACTGCTTTGTTAATTACTGTACTAATAGTACATTATCGTAATTATCGATAATACCATTTTATTCACATTTACAGAGGTGAAAGTGTTATACAACATAATATAACTGCTGATTTTATATTTATCTCGAATTACTGTCGTGGCGATAGCATATAGAGCCTGTTTAAACGTCCACTATTGGTGTAAAAATACTGACAATAAAAAAAAGCTCATTATAAGAATAAGTAAAGTCCTATCGGTAATCGTTATAAAGAAATAAAGTTGCTGCAGTGGAGATGAGGTCAAAAATCATTGACATGTGCTATCTAAGGTGAGTGGTTCGCTAAAATACGGTAAGACGGACTTGCTAATTAGTCTTATCTCAAAATATTACTCCCAGTAGTTATGGTAAAGTTAGTCTAAACTCAAAATGTAATATAATATACAAATGATAATAATATATGATAATATAATTATAATAATAATTATAAAAACAACATTGAACGGTTATTATGCAATGTCCATGTATGAGTACAAAACGTTCGGACCTTATATTTCACTCACTCCTAAAAATCAAGACAAACTAACATATTAAATCAGTTTGTTTTTCGTCTTGTTTTATTGTAATATCGGTCACTTCTATTTGATGTGTTAAAATAACAATGGAAGAATGGAAAAAAATCGCATTAATGACAGCCTCGTTTGCGTTTGTTCAACAAATCAGACCTCTCGATCCGTTTTTGTCAGAGTACCTAACAGGAGCAGACGTCAATGTAACCTTAAACGAAGTAAGTAATCCATTTAACAGATTTGTAATTAGCAAGTAATTTAATTAGATTGTATTTCAAAAAAAAAAAATACATATATATATTGCTATTTTAATTTAACTCTACGGTGTTAAATTTTGACTATTAATTAATGTGCTAACAATGTTAATTAGATTCATTTATGATGTAATTAAAATTGAAGATTTTGCATGTGCTAGTTGTTCATTTTGAAAATAAAAATATGTCCAAAAAATGAATACCACAATAGTTTGGGCACACTATCCACGTGGATTGGGTTTTTTTTTAATTCACCGATGTTCTCATCATCTCCATTCCTGCCCAATACTCTTCTCGGCACAATAATTTTTAATCTTGCTGCTCTTATGCACTATATTGTGCATTAATTCTGCACAGGTGGCAGACGAGCTAGTGCCAATTCAAATACACTTGCAAATATTCGGCATGGCGTTATGTTTTTTGTTCGCCGATTATCTGCTTTACAAACCAGTTTTGATCTTTAACGGAGTGCTCGGAATACTGATGTACGTGAATTTCATCAATTCGCCCAGCCGGTATCAACTATGGGTCAGTCGTCAACTGTTCGGACGTGCCTCGACTACGTTATTCTACAATTAATGCTTTGAATTCAAAATCATCCTAGATGGCCATGTCTTGTCTGTCGCTGTACGGTTGTTTGGCAACGCAGTGCTACTGTTACGCGTACGCCAAAATCCGGGACAAACGCCACTATCAAATGGCGACCAGCTACGTTAAATCGGGTTGGATGCTGGGCATGTTCGTTTCCGGGCTTGTCGGCCAGCTGGTGGTCATGCTGGACCACGGTCGCTGCACGGTTTTGCCATACCTAGGCCTTTTCAGTAAGCTTCGGCTGTACCAATAACAGCAGTAACGGCTGCAGCTGACGACGGCACGAATAATTGTGTTCTAGGCGTGACGTTAGCGTCTGCGTTGGCTTGGCTTCTGCCTCCGGTACAGCACAGTAACTTCTTGCACAACGTGCTGGAAAAACCCATCGACCCGGTTTCTGTCAAGACCGCGTTGTTCGACGACATCATCGACAAGCCCAAGTGCTATTACGCGGTGGACGAACAAAGCAAAGTTAGTATTGTAAAGTCCCCTTTCGGAGCGACTTTTCAATGGTCAAAATGAGACGGCATTAAGAAGGATGGTAAAAGCTGAACGGAGTAGAAAAACTCAAGTATATGAGAGGTATTCGAGAGAGAGATGGGTGGAGTACACGGTGGCGATGGTTAGCAGAGAAACCAACAGAGGAAATAGAAATGGCACAGCTGCATTGACAATTGTAGAGGAATGAGGTCGAGGGAGTGTCGAGTATGGAATAGAAATTGCATAAGACAACGAGGGAGAGTGGATTGAGACGGGTTTGGCATGTTCAAGGAAAAGCATATAATATAATTTTAAGTTTTGACTGCGTTAAAATGAGAAAATAAAATGTGCATTTGTGGCAGAAAGAAAAAATTGAAAAAAACAAGCTCGTTTGATCTACTCTGGTCTGCTTCACTTTGATCGTGTAAACCGGGTAATGAGATACTATTTATTATGATTTTTATTTCAGAAAAAGCAACATCAATCGTCAACTCTGGTAAATGTAATCAAGTGCCTCTGCGAGGACTTCAAAGTGTCGTATTCCGACCAGGCCATTAGGAAATGGTCAATTTGGTACATGTCGGCTTTCGCTTTGCACATGCAAGTAATATTACTGCTATTATTTTTGGTCACATAATATATCCGTCGTTATACTTACTGATCCTTGTTTTCGCAGATTAATTTAAACATAAGCGTTCTGTTTACATACAACGAAAACCAGACCGGAAACAACGTCTTGCAGTTAAACGGGCTTGTGTCATCCTTAATGACCTTAAGCGGTAAACTGACAATTTAACACACTGATTGGCCATTTTTTGGGTAGATTTTTGTAGAGAGCTTTAGATTATCTTTACCAGTGATCCTCGTACAGGTTTTCCTACTAAGAACTCTTTTTAAAGGAGCACAATTGGCTACCTTCCTTTATTCCATCTCTGATTTGGGCAGCCTGTGGGTAAACCCAATCAGACTGGCTCCTAAGTAATAATACCAAACGGGATTTCTAATTGATCCAGTAGGACTCTCGGTGGTATTAGAGCAACTATACACATCTGAACTGGTCTCTAGTTGATTCTCTTGTAATTAATTAATGTGTAATTTTTTTTTTTAACTTTACATTAGCGGCATTTTCCATCTACAAAATAGGCAAGGTTAAGTATGACTGGGGCAGTTGTAGTAACACGTTCCTAGGGCTCGGTTCAATCGTACTGGGAGTGCTGCTGATACTTTGCAGTTTCGTGCGACAAAATGTTTATGTTTACATAATGTACATTTGCTATAACGTGCTGTTCGAGACTATGAACGTAATACTCCAGTGAGTAAATATGTAGACCCTTTATTCTGTCTCATCATTCTTGTTGTTGTTTTTTTTTTTTTTTTTTAAATCAAGTAGAGTCTGCAACTTTTCTCGATCCACACTTGTCCATCCATCCCTCTTGCTATACCTATTCCTTTTCTTCATATTCGCTTACCCCACCACCTCTAAACGTCTATCAATAGAGTCTGACCACTCCATTGCTATGTTATTAAAACGACTACGTACACTCTTCTAGTTCTCAAATCGCTGAAAACATAAAGAACGACTGCTTTTCTTTGGTCATGGGCTTCAATGGGTTCATCGCTACTTGTCTGTGTGCATTTTGTACGGTCGTTTCTGTGAACATGTACAGCATCACAATTCCTCACCAGGTAAAATATACGTTACTCTTGGAATCTTTCACCTACTATTCGGCTGCCCTTGTGTTTTAGTATTTTTTCTACGGTGGAATGTTCGTTCTTCTTGCTGTTATGTACTTGTGGAATTACTTATATGATTCGTGGAAAACAGTTATGCCGAAAAAAACTGGCCGCGACACGAGTTATAACAATATGGAATAAAATCAAAATACATCCGCAGAGGCGTTTCGCTTGTATTCAACAATACCGTTTTGGAAATAATAATATATTTTGTGTAAATATAAATGTAAATACAAAATGCGTTTCTTATTGCGCCGATTAATAATAATTATCGACAAATGTGATCATAACTGAAAGAGTCCTATCATTAACAATCGGAGTCGTTCTGGACAATAATTTAAAAACATTACAGTTAGCTTTGTTGTTGTTGTTTTTGCTCGAAGGATAGACATTTTTAAAACACATTCTTACATCATTCACCGTCGATGGCGGTGGCATAATTTTTATGAAATCAATATTTATACAAAATATGTATTTTCGGACTGTAAGATTAAACCAAAGTGATAGTTTCACAGCAAGTGGGTTTGGATTACACGAAATAACACGAGTTATGTAAAAAGTTATGTAACACGACAGACCATTTGACTTTGGCTGTACCTAAGCAACACCACGACGGGATTTATTTATAAATTAATGTATTTATACACCACCAAACAATAATAAACCTTTTTATGTGTTCTTGAAAAAAGATATAGCCATGTTAGCTACACTGAACTCAATATTTAGTTCAGTGGATAGCGACAACAGTGTCAACTTAGAAACGACCAATATTTCAACTGTAAGTAAGTAAAATTAGGCTGATTAAAATATTTGTATGCAGTAAAATTTGTATAAAAAAATTGGTTTTTATTTTTTTGCGACTAAAATATTTGTCGGGCCAAAATTCTTTCGTTATTTTTTTTAAATAAAAAGGTGTTTTTTTTTATATTTGCTGATAGAACCTGCTTGAACCTCTCATATTTGTTTACCTTCCGGTGGATAAAAATACACAAAAAAAAAAAATTATTAAAATAATTTCAAGTTTAAATAAATCGAAAACAAGTTATTCGATAAACGTTTTTTTTTTCACGTTTTATTTTAGTTTTTATATAATACATAAATAACCTTCGAATATCGTTTTGTGGTATTTTCTGCGCATTTATATAGCTAAACGTTTATTGTAAATTGAGTTTTTTTTTAAAAATGATATTCCCTAGGCCGTATTCAGATTGCTGGCCTCGGAATATTTTCAAAAAATTATTAGTTTTTAATTTTTTTTTTTTTTAACACAATAGAAAATTCTGATTTTTTAAGTGGTTTACGACCAACATTTCTCCAAAAACGAAGACAAACGGTTAATTTTGCAAGAAAAACGGCTTCCTGCCTAACACAGTAGCCAAAAAGCGCATGAATCTCTTTGCAGAATTGCAATTGGACTATCCTAAGTGGTCGAAATAATAATATGTCGTCTGGCTTCGACTCGTAGGAACAATTATTTAAATAAAAATAATACCTAGAAGCCCTTAGAAATCAATCGAATGGTCGACATTTGTCAAACCCAATTTTGCATTGCCTTAAGGTTAGGTTAGAAACCCAAGCCCTCTCCCGGTCTCCGCCAACGCACTAACCTATATACGGCCGGCAAATATTAACATAAATTATTATTTTAATGGTACACCACACACACACACACACTGGTGATGTCCTTGGTCGATTCGAATAGCCGGGCAGACCGGTTATCATAGCGAAGAGTAGAGAAGAGAATATTGTGTCCAACGCGCAGTTCTCAGCGCTGAACGTGCGGCGCGGCGGATTTGTAGATTTTTTTCTTGCAAATGTTTTTCATTGCCAAGGTTAGGTCAACGTCACAGAATAATCATAGTGTTTAGGCTGTCCCATGTAATATTGTGTCCGTTTCCCATCGCATCGTCAGCTGATGCGCTGATTATTGCACCACATTGTCGTCGGCGATAACCGGTATATTTGTTTCCTTCTGCCATTAGCGGCCAGCACGCGACGGTGTAATATTCAAAGAGGTGTTTTGTGTGTTATTCGCCGCGGTTCGTCCGACCATGGAAGAACAATGGAAAAAAATCACCATCATGACCACCGTGTACGCGTTCGCCCTGGAGATACGACCTTTGGATCCTTTTCTGGCCGCATACTTGACCGGGCCCGACATAAAAATGTCACTGCAAGAGGTAAGTGTAAGCCAAAACAAACTAGCCCCCAAGAGTCTTTGTTAAGTCACGCCTGCTAAGTCGCCACACGAGCCGTAACAATGGCTGTCTTTAATTTAAAAAAAAATCTAATTTTGTCAAAAATATGCGAAAATCTACATTTTTTAATAGTAGTAATAAAACTACTTAACGTTCGTCGACTACTTGCAAATGTATACGGAATATTCGGAAGATGTCTAAAACGTGTGGACGTTTTTTTTTAAAAAATTTTACTTAGAAAATTGAACTATATTGACTATATATCATTAAAGGTTTTCCAACATATGCCGTCCAACTTTTTTCTCTAAAAAAAACTTTCTTTTTTTTAAAACTTTATTAAAGAAAATCCCTAAAGATAGGAGAAAATCATACTTTGTCCTATTCAATTTGCAGGTCGCGCTATAAGAAATATGCGACCGAATCAAAAGTCATCAACTGGTATTTTTTTTTTTTAACTTATATAACGTTAAAACAGCTATTTGCTCTGATATCGCATCTGAAATTGCATAACCACCCAATTGACAGATTAGCTGATAATCAGTTTATCATATTTAGATCTTGTAGTATTTCAGTTAATCATTATTATTTCTTCATTTTTATTCAAGTCTATTTCCTGCTTTACCTGCGTTATGCAAAGATGACAATATATCAAGTGAACTACGCTATTTAAAATATTCATACTTGTACAAAATATATGTTCTTATTTAGGCTGTATTTTGGCATGGTCTTTTGGCCGTTATCAATTTGCGGCCTCTTCGGGTCGTGCAAACAATAAAAAAATGATGCTCTTTTTGGCCTTTATTTTTTTTTTATAGTGCTCTCAATTTTCGAGATTCCTCGCATTATTATTTATCGGTGTTATGACCAAATTATAATAATTTTTTATTCAGTTTTCTGTGACGCGTTTGCATTTTTATCACCGAGTTAAACCAATTATTATTATTGGTCGTGAACTCTGTCGAGACCAAATCATATTTATTTAAATTATGTCGTTCGCGAATAAAAATCCGTTGATAAGTAATTTCTGATAAACCCTTTCCCCTGGAAAGGCTCTGGACATTTTTTTTTCTTTTTCTCTTCGCATTTTAGCTGAAGTTTCGGGGCTTAACGTTTGAAAACTAGACCGAAGGTAGCTGTAGAATGCGCATTGACACAAATCTATTGTGATTACTATTAGGTAATACAGTTAATATTATGACTGCACAAAAAACACGTTATCTAAAAAATATAAATTATAGGGTCCGTTTTAAAGAAATCATAATCAATGTACTACCCAGGTATGTGTTCACCGTTTGAGCCGTTATGCTATATCATTTTAACAAATGCAAAGTAAAGTATCCGTTTTTTGTAATACTGTAACAATGACACAGGTAAATTTCAAATTAGTAAGATTCTTGCCTAAGGGGGAGTGCGAGGGAGAAGCCCCCCCTCCCCCCACAAGTTTTTCGTTGGAAACAAATTATGAAAATGATACAAGGGCCAACGTTTTTGTCCAATCATATACAGTTCATAATGTTCACAAAATATACAAGTATACTCGTAACACTTTAACGTTTTTCTGGCCAACAGGTGACGGATCGTTTGACGCCTTTTAGAGTGTACTCGTCGGTGATCGGCACGGGTCTGGGCTTTTTCCTGACCGACTATTTACGCTACAAACCGGTGATGGTGTTCAACGGAATTATCGGCGTGTTGGCCTACGTCAACTTCATCGGTTCGCCCGACATGGTTCAGCTATTGGTAAAATTGTCTTTACAACACCTTGAGAATGTTTACACGACACGACCCTTTACCCGTTGAATATAAATCACGCGTTGTAGATCGCCAGCAATTGCTTGTCGCTGTTCCTGAGCGTCGAGATAACTTACTTCAGTTATTTGTACGCACAAATCAGCAACAAAAACCACTATCAGCTGGCCACGGGATACGCCAAGGCGGGCTGTCTGAGCGGCGCTTGCATTTCCGGTCTCGTCGGTCAACTGATTGTCTTCAGCGGCAACGGCAACTACACCGCCCTGCCGTACATAAGCCTGGCCGGTAAGAACGATTCACCCCGTGCGCGCCTTTATCCTGACCGACACTATCTCTCAATAACATCGTGTCGACTTTACCTAGCACAGCAATGGCCGTCGCGTTAGTTTGGGCTTGCTTTTTGCCGCCCGTCGAGTACAGCAACTACTTCAACTTGGCCGACGACGAGCCCGTGATCACGTCCAAGACGGCCCTATACGATGCCAGTATAACCAATTACACGGAATCGTCATCGGCTGATAAACAAGTAAGTACAAGCCACAAGCAACGAGTCTTGGACGGCCATTGAGAGAACGAATCGCACAGAGAATGATAAACCAAAGGTTTATTGGAACGTATATATATATATATTAAACGGTCCATTACAAGATTAGATTTCACTTTGCGCTTTAAGGATGTAAGAGTTCAACGAGTGGAGTCACAATGACGAAGCCGCAAACCGAATAGGGTGCCTCGAATCAATATGCTTCTGCGACTTTTCCGGAGTAGTGGAGTATTGAATCAAATGTTTGGGAGTTTATAAAAATAATAATGTCACTAGAACACAACACTGAATGTAGTGAATTGTGTAACGAGAAACCTTAAGTTTTTATGACAATTAAAAGCGGCAGAGTGAGTGATTGGCACGCGCGGAGAAGTGAGGATCTCCGAGAAAGCGAAGAAGGACTAAAAAAAAAAACCAAGTTAGCTAAAGTAAATTTAAGTGATCCCCGAGTGTCGTGTAAACGGCTTAATTGAATCTAGTCTACGAGCCTTAGCAGAAACAGCGGGTCCGTTTCAACACGAATTACAAGAAAACCCCCAATCAAGTATCAGCAGGAGAACTCGAGTTAATGGCCAAACTGGCCAAACTACCCGGCCGCTATAATGATACGATTTGGTTTGTTTTGCATTTTCAGGAACACCGCCGTTTAGCAGCAAGTCCGTTTAAACGTATATACCACGACTTCAGAGTGTCGTACCGCGATCCTGCCGTGTTGAAATGGTCCATTTGGTACACGCTGGCTTTGGCCATTTTCATAGAGGTATTTTCGGGTCGATCCCTTCGGGTGTACCCTCCCCTCCTATCGTGGGACAAACACCGCGTCATTAATTAATTGTTTTCGCTCGCAGATCACGTTGAACATCAACATTTTGTTTTCTTACTTGGCGGACATGCGCGGAAACCGCACGCCTCTGCTGAACGGACTGGTCGTCTCCGTTGCTACTATGTGCGGTATGTGAACACGCAAAGCGCAGTCGGAATCGCCGTTGTTGCGAGGTTATATAACAATGTATGCGATTTCATTCAGGAGCCCTGTCGACCTATTCGATCGGCCAGACCACCGCGGTGGACTGGAACGTTTGGGGCGACTTGTTTTTCGGATGCGGCTCCATCGCGCTGGGAGTGCTGACGGGCCTGTGCTACTTCTCAAGCGACACTTACGCGTACTTCATGTACATCTCCTACTACGCCCTGGCCCAGACCATGTTCGTGATAGCCATGTAAGTACCGACTCGACGGGTGGTGGTTAATGGTGGTACCACGTGGTACGTGGTTGGTGTGGTCCGCGTGCAATGCACCGCCGCCATGACGATTAACGATGTTCGCAGATCGGAAATTGCCAAACGGATGAAGGCGACTTGTTACGGTCTGGTGTTGGGATTCAACGCTTTCGCGGCTCTCTGTTTGGCCGCATGTTTTTCCATGTTCGTCATCCAAATGAACGTTTTCGACACGACCACGCCGGGACAGGTTAGTACATATTTCATTAACCCTTCCTCCTCCTGTACCGAATTCTCGCATGACGGATGATATTCTATCTGAAATTCACCGCAGAGCATTGTTTTAAAAATTTTCTCAATTCGTTGTACAACAAATTTTTGTACCGACAAAAAGCTCGCATCTGTTGTTTGCACTTTGTTTCCTATCATTGTTACAGCCGATTGTCTAATCCATCATAATTTTGTTTCAGTTCCTATTCTACGGAGGAACGTACTTGACCCTCGGTATAATATTTCTCGGCGTTTGTGTTTTGAAGATGTTTCAAATCCTCGACTAATATGGGGATCTATCTATCCCAGTGACGTCGTGGACTTGTCAAAAGAAGCATAACTTCTTAACGAGTCTTCCAGCAGACAGACAACTGATAATCGACGATTTTACAGCAACGGAGCGGTTATTTTCTTAATTTTTTTTTTTTTTTAATGAGAAAACAAGTTCAATTGTTATGCGTTATTTTACCGATTCTTGTTGAAATTAACTGCATACTTGATTGGCTTGCAAAACTTATTTTTGTAGTTTTTGGCTCGTGAATATATTTTATCTTAACTTTAAAGTTGTTTTGCTGGTATAAGGCTACACGGGTCTATAGCGCAGTTTGTTTGCTACACATAAGTTTAAATGTCAACAGTCGCATTGTCACTTTCAATAGACTTAGGCACAAGGATTTGTTCACCCAAACAGTTATTTTAATAGGTATAGTTTTAAATGGTAACCGTTAATTATTATTCAAATATGTTTGTATGTGCTCTCATCAAGTAATTATATTTTAAAACATTATTTCGTATAAATCGAAAAATTTTCAAAATATTCATATTTTCCCTGAAAATGTGTGCCTTACATCGGACGGATCACCCTGTATACACTCATGATACGGAACGAGGGCAGCCACCCCCCCCCCCCTTACTATTACAATATATAATACAGGGTGATAATTTTACCACCCAATATCTTCTCATTGGGTTTAATTAATAGCGGAATTTTTTTTCCACAGTGTCTTTATTATATAATGTGTTTTCATGTATGAAAACGCTATGGAAAGTGATCACCCTGTATACCGTTAAATAATAATTGATGATGCATTCCGTAGCACTGTTACGGCGTGCGGTGTGTAATGTATTATATTGTATGTAGGTATGTACGACGGGGATGATTGAATTTTAATGCGAAACGTCGTCACAAAACATCCGTTGGTGGATGGGGGGGGGGGAGGAGGAGGATGCAAAACCCGGGGGACCCTCTGGCGGGGAGCAAAGTCGGTTGTGGTTGGGGGGATGCGAGGGGAAGAACGGGAAGAACTGGGAGCTGGGGGGATGAAAAACAGGAGATCCAGGGATGGCCGTCCATGCGCTGTGACCTTCGAAGGAACACAAACAAAGCGGCACGTGGCGGCGAGATCAATAAAACACAACACGGACGTCCGTCCCACGACCGGACGTGGCACAAAACGTGGAATTATGGCTAAAAAATATATTTAAAAAAATATATATATATGAATGTGTACGTAGGTATGATTACTGTATAACGTCAGGACCTGTGCACTTACTTAACCCTCGACTCGGCATTGTATCTTTATGTGCAAGATATACATACATTTTATTTGTAATAAGTAACTTTCCGGGACCAACGTAAAAAGTACTATCGTTTTAATTTTTTTTTTTTGATATTTAAAAAATTAGACCTCGCCAAGTCAATTGTTAAACGTTTTTATGTTATTTTTTTATTGCGTCAAGACCGTCTAAACCAAAGTGTAAAAATTGTTTTCAAACATAGGTACGTTTATTTATCATACAAATAGAATAAATTTTAAAAAACAAATTACACTAACAAAAAACTGTCAACAGTAATTTTATCCGCCACAATATTAATTAATGTTAAACCATTACCAATTCTCTATTTTTTTTTTATATACATTATTGGTGCTAGTAATGCTCATCCGCGCTTTTTAACTTCTATTAAAATATTTGAAAAAAAAAAACCATACTTAAAATATATTATTATTATAATACTAGAACTTAACACGGTTACAACTTGCCTCCCTTAGAACTCTTCAAAAAAAAAACATATTATAAATAATATAGTTCAGGCTACATATTTGAACTTTTAGGTGGGTTTAGGTGTTTAAATTACACCAAAGGTACATCTAGATAGTTCTTACTCTAGATCTACGGTTTTCTCAAAGATTATTATTATTAAGGAACCCCCCCCCCCCCAAAAAAAAAGAGGAAAATTACATTGTAGTGACTTGCTAGGTGTTTGCTCTGTGCGAGTGAATCGACAGTCCACTGGTATCTGAAAAATAGTTTAATTTATGGGAAACAAGGGCAACATATTGGTATAGAGACTAATGCTCATTCATCTACCCTAATTAAAAAAAAAAAAATTTTATTTCCATACATTGTTGTCGTTAAACTACTTTTATCGGTATCTGTATTTGTACCGTTCGACGCCATTCTACATGTTGGCATCGAAGGGTTTATTTGAAAGTGAATTTTACCAGTTGTAACACTATCACTATATTATAATATGTCACTTCTGTAAAATACTTTCTCAAATATTATTTAAAAAAATGAAAATAGTTTAGCAATTTAAATAAAAAACGGCTTTTAATCACAACATAATATAAAAATAAACATTTTTAAGTTGTCGTTATTAAACTGTCGATTATTTTTCGAGTTAGGGAAATAGAGATAGCATGTAACTTAAAGTTTAGAAATAAAATATAACTTATATTTCATTCAAAAACAATGTCTGTCTTAATATTTGCAGTTATAACTTTGCCAAAACACGACGACGGTTTTATTAGTAATTTATCGATGGATTACAAGAGGATAGCATTATTACGGACGGTGAAAAAAAACCCACTCGTCACTTATTTACGTGTGAAACAAAAATCACGTTATTTAATATATTATAATTATCGTACAAACTTACATAACTTAAAAGCATTACATTATATAAGTATATATATATATATATATATGTAAAACATTGCTTACAAGAGTCAAAGCATCATTGACACTAAAAACAATCATCTCATCGATAATAATAAAAAATATATATAAATAATATTCGTAACTTATATAAAATAGTCCAATCGGAATGAGGATTTTTTTTTAATATATATATATATGTATATCGTAACCGTTACACATAATACGACGACCTATTGCTACTATTTACAAAAAAACAAAATCCACTATCATAAAAAAAAAAAAGAAAGAAAAGAAAAAACTTATGATTCTCGTTTTTTTTGGTTTTTTTTTTTTTTTACATTATTCAAATATTTGTATTATTACTTATATAAGTTTTTACGAGACAACTACTGCGATTGACATCAACGACTTTGTCTCCGCTGTCCGCATGTGTTTTAAACTTGCCTCCGTCGTACTCGACTGTTAAAGAAAAAAAATAAACATTAAGAAAGCACATAAGACTTGTCAACAAATCCATATTATCCGATATATATATATATATTTATTTATAATCACTTAAAAATGTATATCTATGTAATTAAATTTTAATATCAAAGCTTTCGTACAGATTTCATACGAGCTATCGAATCATTCTGGATTCATTCCACTACTTGCATCGTTTGATCATTTTGTTTTTAATCATTAATCTGTTTCTTGATGAAGCTTATTATAAATTTAAGGTAAATCAATCAATATCGTTATTTGTATGCAATTTATCTAGCGCTCTTTCCGTTCTCCCTTTAAAAAAGTCCAGTACTTAAAACGTCAAATTAATAGCCGAAAACCGATTTGAGAACAACCCAATTGATAAAGCTTTTGTGATAAAATTTTACTAGTCAAAAATATTAAGTATTTTGATAAACGTAGAAAATAATTAAAAGATGCCCTCAGACATTTTTGGTTCAAGACTATAATAATAATGTTTGTTTAAAATTAAAATTTTTATATTTTTAATATGAAAAATTTAGAATTTCTTAAATGGTATAATATTGAACTTATCTCATATAATTTCACGATTAATCACAAGAGATCATTTCACTTCTCGCATCGAATTTTTTTTTTATTATAATCATTGAAACTTTTAATTATTTGAAATCTCATAACATAAAATAAAAATCACAAGGATTCATTCCACTTCTCGCATTAATTGTTTTATTAATCATCGATCAAAATAATTTTATTTATAAGACATTATTTTTAATAATTTATTGCGCCTAAATTGGTTACATATTTTGAATATCTATAAAATTCAACTATTCTAAAACGTAAAATATCATAAAGTTTAAAATGAAATCACAAGGAGTCATTCCACTACTCGCATATTGTACTTGTATTAATCATGTTTTTTACGGTTTTTTTTAAATTCAACTTTGAAAGAACAAAAAAAAAAGTTTGTTACTTCAACATTAAGTCATATTGACAGTTAATTTGATCAACTTTAATTATGCACAATCTCATAAAATAAAATAAAAATCACAAGGATTCATTCCACTTCTCGCATTTATTGTTTTATTAATCATAGATCAAAATAGGGTTTTTTTTTAAGACTAATCAATCATACCGTTTTAAAACGTAAAAAGTCATAAATTGTAAAAAGAATTCACAAGGAGTCATTCCACTACTCGCATATTGTATTTGTATTAATCATAATTGTTACGTTATTATAGTTCAACTTTAAAAGAAAGAAAAATGAAGCTTCTTTTACCACCAAGTTAAGGTTTATTGCCAGCTAACATTAACTTTAATTATTTTAAATCTCATAAAATAAAATAAAAATCACAAGGATTCATTCCACTTCTCGCATTAATTGTTTTATTAATCATAGATCAAAATAATGTTATTTATAAGACTTTTTTTTAAATAATTTTTGGGCCTTAAATAATTAAATTTGAATATCTATAAAATTCAACTACTTTAAAACGTAAAATATCATTAAATTTAAAAAGGAATCACAAGGAGTCATTCCACTACTCGCATATTGTATTTGTGTTAATCATGTTCGATACGTTCTTTTTTAAAAGAAGGGTCTTTCACATCCACGTTAAGAGTCATATTGACAGTTAATTTGATCACAACTTTAATGATGCGAAATCTCATAAAATAAAATAAAAATCACAAGAATTCATTCCACTTCTCGCATTATATTTATACATAATCATCGATAGTTGGTTTCAAATTAATCGTTATTCAAAGAACTATCATTAAAAAAATTAAAAAACAGATTTCATTATAGTTAATAAATAAAATCAAAGCGTTTTCATTCCACTTCTCGCATCGATTATTAAATTAATCATCAATCTGCTAGAGTATTTTTTAAACCTACCTTATCTAAATCTATTAAAGTAGAACAGAACAAAAATGAAAACTACGTTAACTTACACGGGAGTGTTAATATTTTTCTAGAGACAATATGTGATCGGGTTTTTCGCCTTTGTCGTGTTTATCCCACATTGCTCTGTACAACCTTTCCAGACCGTTGGCGTATATCGAACAATTGAACAACGGACTCTCCGAGCGCGCACGCCACACTTCGGCTCTCATCGTTTTTAAACTGAAAAATCATTTTTTATTTAAACATTTTTTTTTTTCAATGAATATAATAATATTATTAATATATTATCACTTACTATTCTTTGTCTGTTCCCAATCGTATCGCGATATCTTGATATTCCTCTCTCGTCCTCGCGATCAATTCCGGACAACCAAGTGTAGCCAATTGTGAGGCGGCAACTCTCGATGCCAACGTCTCTCCCGGCAAGGTAACGACGGGCGTGCCTGTCCACAACACGTCCATGCTGGTGGTGTGACCGTTGCACAGCGGCGTGTCCAAGCACACGTCGGCCAGTTGTCCTCGACGTACGTGTTCCTCCTTGGCTGCTACGTTACTGAACAATATGCGTCCAGGACCGATGCCCAAGTTGGCAGCGGTATTGTGGATGTGTGTCTCGCCAACAGCCGGGAAACGGAGCAGCCACAACACTGCATTTGGAACGGCTTTCAAAATCTAAAAACATTACATTATGTCGGTTAAGATTTTCATAAAGAAAAAAAAAAAATGTCTCAAAAGCACACTCAAAGTATACTATACTTACGTTAACCCACATGTGAAGGGTGTTGGGATCGATTTTGTACAATTGATTAAAATTACAATAGACCACTGCGTCTTCGGGTAAACCGTACTGTTGACGTGTGGTAATGACTATATTCTGCGGAACTTCTTCGCCCGTAGCTGCTTTGTTGTTTGTCTGATTGGTCGCCAAGCCGTTTTGTACGACGACGCCATTAACCGAAGTTTGAATTTGTCCAGAAGCAATCATTGTCTGGTAAAAAGGTAAAATAAATATTTTTTGTTTTTTCGAAATGTCAGAGGTGTACTAAAATTAAACTACGAAAGAAACACACCTCGATAGGAGTGGTCGTCGGCAATTCAGCCACTTTAAGATTGACCTCGACTGGTCGTGTCAGTTTAGAGTCTGCGATTTCCGATACGATGACTTGTTTGATTTCTGTGATGTTGGAATTCTCGATGATGGGCGACAAATCTGTAGCGTTGATAACGGCTACATTGTCGGCAACGTCCTTTTTGTTTCCCGTCTTGTCAGACAATATGATACGTTCGCAGAGATGAGGGAACATTTGCCGGTGATCTCCAATGAAATAAGTGTGCGGCATGTAAGCCAATTTCTCGCTGTACTGCGACGCCAATTCCACCGGTGAAGTAACCACGTCCGTAATTAAATAGTCCATAAACGGAGCGCCGCTTGTGCCCGGATATCCGAGCCACATCACCTGAACACAAATAATCGTAAAATCGTTAGTGAGAATCACAATATGCTATTGGAATGCGTGGCGGCCCTAATATTTTTAAAAACTATTTTCAGAATGTCCAACATCTAATAATTGTTGTGTAATGTTTGTATTGCATTAATCACCTGTATCGGGGCAGGACGTAAAGCAAATATTTCATTTCTCGCTCCTTTTGTGTAGCCATTCATGTTGACCAAAATATGTATACCATCATTGTTGATTTTGTCGGCTGCTTTTCCATTACATGGGATCTAAAAAAAAAAAAAGTTTAAGCGATGCTTAACAACAACACGGCGGGGCTACTCATAAACGTTGTCCCTTTGCGCGGTTGAGAAAGATTCCAATACTTACGTGCGAAAGATCGATAAAATGTTCGGCTTCTCTGGCGATTTTCGACCTGAAGGCAGTGTTGTCGTCAGTCGATAACGCGTAGCAAAATATTTCCACTTTGTCTCGGTTGTGTAGACCGGGAATGGATTGCATTAAATGCGATGTCGGATGATTGCCAAAATCTGACGAAACATACCCAATGCGCAATCTGTTGCCGGGAGCCAATTCTCTCAAGTACTTGTAGGGCGGTTTGTGTAACACTTGTATTTTCTCCAAACACAAAGCAGCGTGTCGGCCTGCAATCGCCTTGCGGAAAGCGTGCGACAACGGATACAACATAGAATGATGCGGATGTACCGACGGCAGACGGTTCTTTTCCAATTGCTCGGCGACTATACTGACCAGTTTCTTCATGCGCGCATCGTAATCGGTCCAGTCGCATACAATTTGCAAGCAATGAGCCAAGTTACAATAGGCATCGGGGAAGTCGGGTTTCAAGCGCAGTGCGGTCCTGTAAGAAGCGATGGCTTCGGGTATGTTTCCGGAATCTTTGTGGATGGACGCCAAGTTACTGTGAGCGTCGGCGAAAGCGGGATTAATTTGAATGGCCCTGGAGTAACACTGGAGGGCGTTTTGCACGTCTTGCATTTCTTTCAGCGTGTTGCCCATGTTTGAATAAGCATCTGCAAACGTAGGCTGAATACGAATGGCCTCCTGATAATGGTTCAAGGCTTCGGTCAATTTGCCCTGCTGTTGAAGCACGGACGCCAAGTTGGAATGGGCGGCAGCGAACTCGGGGAACACTTCCAAAGCTTTCAAGTACAGTTTTGTCGCTTCTTCTATGTATCCTTGTTCGCGCTTGATGTTGGCCAAGTTGTTCAGCGAATCGGCGTGAGTCGGACATAATTTCAAAGCCGTGTTGTAACATTCTTCGGCGTCCGACACCTAAGAAGAGTGCAAACAATGGAAAATATGATAAAATATTGAGCCAAAAAAAAAAAAAATAACCAAGACAACAATTTGTGACCCCCACCTGTCCTTTTTCTTTAAGAGCGTTTGCCAAGTTGCAGTAAGCGTCCGGGAAGTTTGGTTGTAATTCTATTGCCCGACGGTAAGTGTCAATAGCCAAGTCAATCAGCCTGAAAAACAAACGCTACAATAGTACACACAAGGAGGGCAGAGAACATTGACAAACTCGATTTGCACTCACCCTTGCTCGTAGTACACACAAGCCAAGTTTCCGTGAACGACGGCATTGTTCGGACTCAACGCAAGTGCTCGCAAATAAGCCGATACCGATCTGGAAAAAAAATATATAAATATGTTTGAATTAAACGAGCAATAATCGAACAATATTTTTATTTTTTAACACAATATTATGGCTAACATAAAAAAAAAATACAAAATTTCAATATATATGCGTGTCTTTTATCACTGTCTAATTTATTATTATTGCACAACAGAGGGAAAAATTTTGGAATCTTTTTTTTTTTTTGCATTCAACAAAAAACGCGTCGTAACGACAGTAGATAATTAATAAAGGTGAAAAACAAAAAGTTTACACAAAAAATAAAGCTTTAGTAGGCGTCTTCAAAGTTTTTTCATCTCGTTGACAACCGACAACATTTTTAATTAAAACGAGTTTTCGTTTGTTAGAAAAAAAAAAAAGAATTGGCGCTGTGCAAAAAGGTGATGAGTGAAGAAATGGGCACGACCGGGTAATAAACTCTTTTTATAATTGTTAAAATATAGTTGTAACACAAGTCCCTCGAGGTGAATCATTTTATTCAACGTGACACATTTTGTCAAATGTGATATATTCCTATACTATATTCCTTAGTTTTTTTTAAGACTTCAGTTAATTTGAAAATGACCAACATCATTAGTATGATAGTCAGATAATCAGCGAGATAAAATCATTTTTCTTCTTTATGTATCTAACTACTAGCACACCGTTTTGAGGATCAATGCGTGAAACTCTATCGTGTCGTTACGTTGAATACAATGACAGATACGAAACTGCCAGGCAACATGTACTATAAATATTACACAATATATTTTCTAGGATGAAAAGACACCCAAGGTAGAACGGAAGAAGCACAAGTCAAAAGTTTATAATCGAAAAGCGTCGAACGAGACATCATCGCCTGGACGGGTTTTGACATTATCAACACATCACAGAATTCGTTTCGATGGATTTTATCGGATGGCTGAAAGTTTTATTTTTTTGGGAAGGAATAGAGGGATTCTACCTGCAGTAGAATTTTCACAGAAAAAAAAAATAGGAGACGGCGAAACGACAGAGCGCTAACAAAGCCTTATTCTTCCCACGACCCCAAGTCCTCCTCCTATGCACACACACCACAGTGCTACAAATGAACAAAAGGGTAGTGGGGTTTAGGGAAGGGAGGAGAGGTTGTTAAACCAATATTTCGCTAAAAACCGTAGAATAGAAAGAAACAAAAAAAAAAAAAAGTAGAAAGGGAGAGAAAAAATTCTTTAGAACTAATTTTTTTCCCATTTAATTGTTTCTATTGAAAAGTACGTTCAGGCGTGTACAGAATGTTAATTTTAAAACCTATGATTAAATTTTAGCCAACTGAATTTTCAACAACATTTTTAATTAAAAAATTGAATTTTCGTCATGCTGTTTTTGGTTTTTATAAATCGTCTACATTTCCCTTATTTTCTGAAACTCGACTTTTCAACAAAGTTATGATATTCAAGTAAAAAAATACTTATAATTGGTTTCATAATTTATAATTGGTTTTCATAATTGATAAAAAAAAACGCATGGACGATTACTAAAGTGTAATAACTAATGACCATTGTGAATAAGTTTTATTTTCAACAAGTTGTACGATTCGATTTAATCCGAATTCCAATGAATTCAAGTTCTTTTTTTACACATTCCATGCAGAGACCGAGTTGGGGGGAAAAAATTCAGACTGACCGAGAGGACACGGGTGGTTTGGACACCCTGTATATAGCGAATATAAAAAAAATCCTTAGCCATTATGATTGATGCTGCGCCCACGTGCTTGTCATCGGATAAGGATTATAATAACAAAGACGAGGGGGGGGAGGGGTTTGCCTTTTGCCGGATATGATTAACGTTTATTTTCCACCGCCATCCATTGTGGCGGCACAGGTATTTATCATCGTTCAATAAACGGGTATAAACATCATATTATACGTCCATTACACCACACAATGCTCCACGGACGTCATAGTCTGGTGCCCTCCCCTTCTCCCGAGGGGGGTCTTGCTGAACGGTAAGAGAGACACGTCGAACTGGAGTGATCCGAGGGGCAAGGGGATACAACAGTCCGGTTCCCCGGGGAACATACATCACGTTGGTGGTGGAATAGGGTTTCTTAGATATTATGTAAAAAAGCGACGGCGGTCTGACACGAGCAACGTTCGGCATACCAACAACACACACCTACCCCTCTCCCATGAAAAAAAACCCCCAACTCCTTCGGTACACGGCCCGAGCATGAATAAATTGCGGTTACAAAAAGCCAAACAAATTTACTACCCGTCTCTCGGTTTCCCTGTGTGTTGGGGCTATAAACTCTGCTCCGTGCTAGCTTTTAATAATAAATTGAGTAAAAAAAAAAAAAAAAATAGATTATATTAAAACCAACCGCGACCGAGCCAAGTAAGGCGGTAGTCTTTGAATTTTAGGCAAAATTTCGAGAAGGCGGATCACACACAACGCTTAAGAATTATTATTTTTGTTTCAGGTCGACGACTGCGAGATGACGACGGCAATTCGCCGATAATGAATAACATTATATTATTATTATAAAATATTTTCTAAAAATAATAAAATACATAATAATGAGCGGTCGGAACATCACCCCTCGTGAGCAATTCGTTATTAAATAAGAGTAGGCGGAAGAGTGGGACTCTTAGTGTAGGCAGATAAGAGCACATACATAATTTAGCTTCACAGCATATACTAGTAAACACAAGTTTTAAATAATTCATGAAAAAATAGTTAACAACAATAATTCTATTTATATTCTGCTTTGCTGCAGAACCGAGACATTGGCTTTATTATGATATATATCGGAAAGTTAACTTAAGCTAATCTTCTTTTTTTTTTTACTCTTTTTCAAGAAAAAAAAATCGACAAAACAGTTGTCAACTTGTACGAGGGAATTATTTGCCGATCAGTAGTTAAAAACTAAACCTTTCTTTTAAAATAAATAGAAACTTTTATTACATTTTTTTTTTTTTTGAGAGCATTTTTCGAAGAATCTTGTGGACCTGATCAGGTTTTATTGGAAATCATTTCATCTCCTTCAGTCATATTAATTCTTAAAGACATGTGACGTGACCTAACCTAACCCTAAGCTGGATATAGGATTTGTTTGGAAATTAGTTTTCATAATATTTTAGGAAAATGTTATAAGTAGAAATTAATCAAATTATTATTTCATCATAATCATACGAGATACGAGCAGAATTACTTTTGTAATACCAAAAAAAGATAGTTTAGGTATGAACGGGTTGTGAATTTGATAACGTTTACTTCTCATGTAGTGAGCTTGAGAGAAAGACCTCCCTAAGCTTTCATTGGGTAGCTTTGATAATGTAAACTATGCATTTTAAAAGAAACTATATTGAATAAACAAACTTAGTATTGAACAATTCGACAATTTAATATTCAACATTTTTGTCGTCCTATTATTAGAGGTTCAAAGAAAAACTCCACAAAAGAATTGGCATATGTTAAACGGAACAAAAGAAATTAACGACGCTTTATTTTTGGCATGCCTACATTATTCTTGAGCATGTTCTGCTGACTATAAAATAACACAAAACCGCGACAGCGAGAAGCTAACTAGCCTAAAACCGACCAAGACGAATTCAAATATAAGCAAAAATCATAATTTATTAATCAGTTTTAATAACGTTACTGGGATAAGATACTGTGGGTAGAAATATGGCAAAATCGCTAATGGATTAAATAAAATAATGCAAACGCCGGAATTTCCGGAACTCTTTTCGAACCCACACAATAACAAGGTTTAAAAACGAAATTAGTGAAATTTGTGTACCTAAACATTTATTTTTTCCAATTATTTTACATGCTTAATCCAGGCAGCTTTAATACTGCGGTGGGTAAACGCCACTACATTGCAAACGTATGACAGTAAAAAACAGGACAAGAGACATAAGTTATCATTATAGGAATTATAGAATTACATCTGCCCAATTAAATTCAAAGAAATTGCTAAATAAAACTCATTCAAATTTATCTATTTCCTCTTATCCCAACAACATCCTCATCCATACTGTGTGTGTCATGCAAATTTTCCACGGCAACAAGACATAATCATATTAATTTGGTATTATTATAATCATTATCGTTCACACAAACTTTTTGAAAAAATAATATATGATCCACTTCTATAGTACAGCAAACACACTCCAGTGCATGACCATTACACTTGGTCGGGTCGGTTTTCGGTTATTTCAGTAGCCGACATACCCTTTGGAAATAATTGCTACAGTTTTCCCTGTACCACGATTGCCCCCAATATGAGTGGTCTGTTTTAATTTCGTTAAACGATTACCTATACATCCATCGATCCGACACAGACTATAAAATAATAATACAACGGGTACAATATATAATGTTTTTCCACGTACACGAGTGTGCCAGAACACAACAAACAACAACACCTCATTAACCTTTAACGCTATTGTCTGAGTGCGTTTTCTAATAGAGACCATGGCGGGGCACACAGTAGGTAGGAATATAACCGGCATGTCATTTCCGCATCAGATAATATGCCAAGAACACAGTTATACAACAATAAAGAGCTTTCGTTGGTCGCAGATGGAATATATGGAACAGTCGCTTTCTACCTCATCCCCTGTACAAAGGCTCTACAAAGCGACAAATATAGCCGGTAAACATCTGGTGTTATTTCCAGCAGTGCAAATATCAGTACAATTTCAGAGCCGACAAAGTTACTTTTGCTAAAGTAACATAAGTAATGTAATATTTCAGTTACTGGTTATTCACAATAAAAAAAAAGGAAGGGTATCGAATGGAATTCCTGTTAGACCGTAGACAAATGAACTTTAAAAAAAAAGGCTTTTAAAAGATTTATTTTAAACCCCACCCCACCTTTTATTATATGCTCAGTCCACATGCCCGTGGAAATTTGTCAGTCATTCCAAAAATCAGGTGTACATATTATTTTTGACTGCGGTTTGCCTACACACGGCACCACACCCTTTCGCGCTTGTGTACAAATAAACGGGAAAATCATTAAG